ATTATCTCGAAATTCAAGCGAGATAACAATTTTTTCATGATAACCTTTTTTCTTCCTCTCATAATTTTCTATAAAAAATGTTTGAACAAAAAATTCGTTTTGTTCCTTCGATTGCGAGATATTCGCTTTGAAAAATTATTCTTGTTTGGCTAGTGAAGTTTTATCCATTTAGATATTTTTATTTTTATTGTGTTTGTTTAATATTTTATCTGGGTGACAACAAAATGGTTTTTTACGTTGGATAGGTGGCACAAGTGAACGATCGAATATTCAACTCAACTCCTCACCCGAGGAGGTTCAGCTGACGGTGAACTTTTGACCTAGCCTGCTTTATTCTCCTACGACCTTTCACTAAACTTGACAGCCAGGATCCAACCGTTTTCCCTTTTCATTCCATCTCGACTAATCCCTCACGAGGGATTCATCCATTTGTTATTCCGCAACCCACAATAATAATAAATTCAACGTCCAATTCCCAATTGCCAATTCCCGCAACAACAACTTTCCACTCAGATCCAAATTCGCGAATATCTCTGAATCCACCAGAGATACCCGAATTTTCATAATCACCTTTTTTGCAGATCTAGTTGTAATTCATAAAAAAGGTTTTAATGAAAATATTTGTATCTGTCGTAGGTTCAGAGATATTTTCGTGCAAAGTGGGATTCTCTGGCAAAGTGAATTTTTATTGAAGTTTTCTTTATTTTTTATGGATAATACATTTAATCTCTTGACACATGCTTCCATCAGATTCTTCCGGTGACATTCATTCTTGAATCTCATTCGTACACACAATGTGCAGTTGAGGGAGAATTACCGGAGTTAATCTCGTTTAAACCCCGCGTATGAATCCAACACGCATGCACAATGAATTTCTTACGATTGCATTCACAAGAAAATGCAGATCAAATTCAATTTACATTTCAAATGAGATACACCTAAAAAAAATTCCGCGAAGTCTCCCCAAGATTTCCCCCATAACTCCACATATTCGCAATTATTTTTTTTTTTAGGAATAACTTGAAAAATTCTTGACGGTTATGAAAAAAAAATTGAAGGAGCGTACAGCGATGCAAGTGCAGATATTACACTTTATTGTTTGTCAGACAAGAACAAACACGTGGCAATTGTCACACCGACGGTACAATGAGTCCCCGAGGCTTGAGAAAATTGAAGCAAGCACTCACCTCAGTCAATATACGACAAAAGTATGAATTGTACTCTCGGTGTACCTAGGAGAGCAGGAAATTGTTGATCTAGGTCATTTCTCAAACTCCTGAAAAGCTCATGGACATTGAAGTCCCGAGGACTTGACTATAAAATTGAGTCTCATCAATTCCATATTATTATACAATTATATTTTCGTTTGACGAGTCATTTTCACTGTCGCTGTACCAACATTTTATTTATTTCAATTTATTTTCAATGTGGAACTGACGTAAATTTTACTCAACAGGGGAAACTCCCTGACAGAATGAAAGTTTCTCTTGTTGTGTCCGTCAGGTACAGTAAACTGCTTTCCAGAGGTGGAGGGAACATTATGTACATCAGAGAAGGGAAAGGAAAAGCTATTAACGGCTTTTTCTCGCCTGATAGTCGTGAGTACCACACGCTCGCCAAAACGTAAAAAAGGGTGGAGTACATGGGGTGGAGCTGGAAAGCAAAATCACGCTATGTGCTATTTACTTTGAGCCATATGTATATCCCATGTACTAGCGATGAAACAGGGTAAAACAGTGTTAAGGATTTATTTATTTAATTTTCCAAGTGATGGACAACAATTCGAATCTACAGTTGCGTTAAGTATCGATTTTCAACCCCGTGTCGCTCGGAATTAAAGGGAGATAGCCATATTTTTGTGATGACACTTTTTGTGGAGAATTTCAAGAGCTGGGGAAATGGTATTCATGAATATATCGATATCTCTCATCAGTGCCGAGATATCTGGGAAAAACTGATGTCGAAAAAATGCACTTGTCGTATTTTCTTATTTTACAATAGAAATTGTTAATTGTATTGAGAAAAAATGAGGAAAAATTGTTGATACCGAAGAAATATTGATGTGAAAACATTTTTCAAGTTTGATTAATTATAATAAATTAGGAAAAATACGGGAATTTCGTGGGGAATTTATGAAAATATTAATTTGATTGATTCGTTCGTTGAATTAATTTGACGATTGCGATTTGAATTTTGTTCCAGATTAATGAAAAATATTCACAAAAATGGGGCGGATTTAATTGAAAATATGCGGCGAGGTACCACTAGCCCGCATCATCCACAAGCACAGCAATGAATTCTGTACCTTTGAAATCCACCGCGAATTCAATGACACCCCAATGCTCCCTGCCTAACAGTATTTACCTAATTTTACTAAATTAATTAACAAAAGAAAAAAAAAAAAACAGAGGCATTCCTCATCAATTATCGAAGTGCAATCGTTTAAATACCTTTGAATGTTATCAAAAAGTCCTGATTAAGAACAAACTATTAATTAACAAAAACAAATAGCGAAGACAATCCCACATACCAAATAATCAATTTGGTGTAATAAATAAAGATAATACGTGTCATTGCATAATTGCTAGACCAATATTAATATTAATTAAACATAAATCAGCGTTAATAGCGAATGAATAATTTGGAAAGTATAAGTTTATTGTTGATTAAAATTGAGCTTGATGAAAATTTTAACGAGTCTATTGAATATAGTACCTGTAAATTTATAAATATATTTAAATATTGTTGTTGAAAGCTACCAAGGAATTTATGTGTTGTAAATTAACAACAAATCCAGTTTGAATTATATAGAAATTATTTAACTATTTACCCACAAGTCGAGCCAATTAAAAAAATAATCGTCGAATGAACGAAATAAATAATTGAAGTTAAACAATTGCGCCAATTCTAAAGAGAAAACAAAGTGAATTAAACTATTTATAAGTTTTTCAAGTGTCTACTTCAGGTGTCCTTCAATGTTGATTAATTTTTTTTTAAACAATCGACTCATTTCACTGAAAAAGACGATCTCAATTTTATGTACTGTCTTCCACGTTCGGGAGACGGGTAAAGTCAAAAAAGAAAATATATTCGGAGATATTTAAATGAAATCTACACTTTTATAAATATATTGACACTGGAATACCAGAGGAAATAAATAAACAATAATGAGACTGACAGAGGTCGTCTGATTGTTACATTGGATATAGTTTTAAATAAATAGAATCGTCAGGATGAATCTAGAAGTGGAATTGATAGCTGGAGTAATCAAAGGTGGACCACCACCTCCACACTTGCCAGCCCCTCGATTGATTAAAATATTTATCGCTGGTGAACGCGATGGTGAGTAATAATAACCAATCACCCACTCCGATTTTCAATCAACAAATGACAACAAATTCCCCTAGAATTCTTCGAGGAACGGAAACAGCTCCTGGAGATGGTGGGGCCCGAGCTGCAGACGACCTACGACGACATGGGGATCGAGGTATTTCAATATTCCCTTCCACCTGCAATATTTTATCAAAATCACTTATCATTTTTCTCCATTCACTCATTCATTGACACTATGGATTATTATTATTAAAAAGGTACTTCTGGTGGACATGCAGTATGGCACAAGCAGAAATCCCGATGCTGATCCCCACCTAGCTGATTTATTCCTTGAGGAAATTAACGCGTCTCATCTTCACTCCAGGGGCTGTTTTTTCATCGTGAGTTGATAATCCAAATAATCATGATTCACCGAATAAAAAATAGAATAAAAAAAAATTAAAAAGTTAAGTAAAGAGTAAAATTAATAATTTCTCTTCTAGCTTCTAGCTGGGGCGGAATACAGCACCGGGTGGACCCCAAGAAAATTCGAACAATCAGTTTTCGATACCCTTGTTAAACATTGCAATCAATTGAACGAGTATTACACTCATGAGGGCTGTTATTACCTTCTCAAGGCCACGAGGTGATTTAATTGTACATACTCACCATTTCCTATGAATGCAACGACTGAATAATGATTTTTCCAGCGAAGAGACATCCCAGGACGACTGGCAAACAACAATCGGAGTAAAATTGAGAATTTTACTGAATGATGCTGCCACTTCAGCCCTAAAAGATAACGCAGATAATCCCGAGATCATGAAAGTATTAAAAAGCACTTCTGAACGACAGCTGGACTGCGCCCTAGGTACGTACCCCAGAAATAAAAATTTTCATTTAATCTATAAATCTTTGAAATGAATAATAAATCCCTCAAGATCTCGACGCCGACGGCAAGGGAATCGTCTCGATAATTCGCAAATGGCGAGGGACCTCCCCCGAAAATGCAGTCAAATTACCAGTAGAATGTGAGAGACTTGTGGCCAAATTGAAAAGCTCATTGCCACGAAATAATATAATTGAACTAGAGGCTGATTACGACATCGATGGCATCAACCCAAATTCCAATTCAAATCACGATGCATATCTGTCAAAACTTCGAAGCGAGACCCTAGATATCATTCAACAACTGGTGAATGCATCTGTTGAGGCAAATCCAGAGATAAAGAGTAGAAAAAAAATGGTGCAAGAGGTGTACGCTGAGAGTCTAGCTCACCTATCTCTTCTACGAGATATTAATCCCCTGGAGGAGAGCAATGACACTGTACAACGAGTTAAGGAACTTATGATTACTGGTAAAGATATTAAACATGGACCTATAATGATACGAGGGGGTAAATCGTCCGGTAAATCGAGTGCTGTCAGAAGAATCTACGATAGCTGTGACACGTGGTTGAAGCAATCGACAATGAAAATTGTACGTCTCTGTACGTCAACACCACGATCGGCCTACAGTCTTGAATTACTGAGAGTTATCTGTCAGCAGATTGGTTTTTTAACCGGCAACAACGATGGCAATTTGCCACGCGAGGCCTCATTCAATCCACTCTACCTCAATAATTGGTTAACGCAGATCTTACGACAAATCGAGCAAGGGATTCACGATAATAATGGAGAACAATTGATTATTCTTATCGATGATATCCACAGATTGCATCCACTCGAGGGTGACATTGTTGCTGCTTTATCGTGGCTTCCACTTCAATTGCCACCTGGTATTCATTTTATCGTGACAACCAGTGCATCACCAGAATTTTTGAAGCTCACGCCATTGCAGAAGGAGAGATTCAAGTCACCGGAGATACTTGTTGATGTGGCTGATGCAACGAGTGATATCATTGCACCGAGGATTGATTCTGATATTCAGAAGTCATTCGATTGCTTGGACAAATTAATCGGTAAGAAAGCAGCTAGTCGTATCGGTGCGCTACTAGCGTGCACCGAGTATGGATTATCAGAGACTGAGATACTTGAATTTATAATGCCAACTGGTGGTGATGGTCCACTGATGCTATCATCTGGGCAATTTAACTTTTCCACATGGTGTCTCGTCAGACGAAATCTATCGGACTGCCTGAGGGTACGTGTCATGAGTGGAAGATTGTTATTCTCATGGCGGTGTTTGTCCCGTGAGGTTGCGAGAAAAAAGTACCTCTCCACCCTTCAATTGTCGCGAGCATATTACGCTGAACTGGCGACAACAATATTCTTCAACGAACCAGAAGAGGAGGATACAGATCCCAATGATCAGGACACCACTGGCAAAAAGAAGAGAGATTATGGTAATGATGATTACGATGATGATGATGTGAATGAGAATGATAACGACGATGATGATAAATTGAAAGAGACACCTTTTCAGAGTACACCTCAGATATCCGATATCACTTACAGTTTACGACACATCGAAGAGGCATGGCTGCACTTGCTGAGGGCCGGTGATGTTGAAAAGCTTAAGAGACTTGCTGTTTGTGCGTTTGATTTTCTGCTTGCAGCTGTTCAAATGATATCAGTCAGCTATCTACGATGTGTACTTGAGCACGCAAGACGTTATCTACTCGAGAGAGATCTCGAATTGGTGTACTACACGATAAGAAATTCGAGTGATGCACTTACTAGAGATCCTCTTCAGCTCGGTGGTCAATTGATAAGTTGGTTGAGGCCAGTTGTTGAAGACGGTGGTGATTTGGTCAGTCGAATGATAACAGCAGCAATGGCCTGGTGTGATGGATGTGCAGCACCTTTATTAGTTCCTCTCAATGGCTGGCTGCAATCACCATTGCCCCTGCAAATACGTGCCCTTGTTTGTCCGCAGGGTGTCAAGCTGATAGAAGCAGCTCCATCAGGTCAGCACATTATCGTCGTACCCAGTGATGGTGATGTCCAGCTGTGGCACGTTATGTCAGGACAATTGGTACATACTTTCAAGGGCCACTCTAATCCTGTATCATGTTTAGCGGTGACACATCAGTCGCAGTATCTTCTCACCGGCTCCGAGGACACCACGATAATCGTTTGGGACTTGAAGGAATTGAGCATGAAACGTCGGATTTGCGAACACATTGCGTCTGTATTGGCACTGACACCGGCGCTCAATAATTCAGTCATCGTGAGTGGTGGTGAGGATTCACGGATTATAGCAACAAGTCTTCTATCCGGTCAAGTTCTTATGAAAGTCGATCACCATCGTGGACCGGTGACAGCGGTTCGTGTCGATGCAGCTGGTGAAGTTCTCGTTTCAGGATCGACTGATGGCACCGTATGCCTCTGGTCACTCGAGAGTTTCAAACTTTTGAACAGTATTAATTTACCATCACCGGTGTCAATGCTTGATGTATCTGGTGATTCCGTGTTTCTTCTCGCTGTGTGTGAGGATGAAAAACTTTACGTACGCTCACTGGCTACTGGCACTGCACTTCATACACTCAGAGGACATCAGGGACCGGTCAAAAGCGTTTGTCTAGCCAGGGACTGCAGGCGAGCGGTTGCTGGTGGTGTTGATGGACGTGTATCACTGTTTGATATACACAGCGGTAAATTGATAAAGGCATTGTCAACGAATTCATCGGCGGACGTCACGTCCGTTCGTGTCACCGAAAAGGACGACTTTCTCATAACGGCGTGTGGCAATCGTGTTATTTACTGGAGCTTCAGGGGTGAGGAAGCGATAAAGAAGAGGCGAAGGAAGAAAACACTGAAGTACAGAGAGAGGGACAGTGATAAGAAGGTTGGAATAATGAAGGAGGGGTGCTGCAGGGGCAAACAGGAGACACCACTGCAATTCCATACTGCACCTTTGACATGCATCGATATATCACGGGATGGAGCGATGGCAGTCACTGGTGGTGTTGATTCTCTTGTCAATCTTTGGCAGTTGAACAGTCATCAGCTGATGCTGACACTTGAAGGACACATTGCAAGTATCAGTTGCGTTGCATTCTCGGCGTCTGGGCTGTTCGCTGCTTCAGGCTCGGAGGACAAAACCGTGAGGGTCTGGGGTTTGACACTTGGTCTTGTCGTTACGACGTTTAAACATCAAGCGCCTGTCACATCGGTCATTGCTATGCTCGATGGCCAGAGAGTTGTCAGCTCCGATCGAAGTGGTGCTATTCGTGTTTGGGCTGCTGACACTGGAATACTCATTCAATCAGTCTGCGGACCTGGAAGATGTATCGCTGTTACGCCTGATATGAGGTACACTATTTGTGGATCCGGTGATAATCAAGTTAGGATAATGAGTTTGGGGGCTGGACCTGAGGAGAAACATCAAGTATCTCATGGACAGGATATAACTTGTCTCGTTGTAACGCCGGACTCAAAGTCCCTTATAACAGGATCACGTGATATGAGTTTAAAAGTTTGGCAATTAGCTGGGGGTAAATTGTCACAAGTTCTCGTTGGACACACTGATCATGTTACCTGTGTTGCTGTGTCAGTTCAGACTACCAATGAGAGCATCGTCGTATCTGGATCGCGTGACACTAATCTCATTGTCTGGGACATCAACACAGGAGCTGATCTTCACACATTGACTGGACATCTTGGATACGTCACCTGCGTGAGACTATCTGGTGATGGCACACTGGCTATCTCTGGAAGTGAGGATAAAAATATTTTTGTATGGGATACGAAGAAAGGAATTGCACTCGGTTCAATAATGCTACATGTGCCGATCGTTGGCGTTGAAATCTCAACGGATTGCTCTAGACTTGCCCTTCATCTCGTGGAGCAATCAACAATGCCGATTCTATGCCTCCACAACACACCAGCTCAATACGTCAAGCTGCCGTCGTACGTTGCACCGAGGGAATTGCGACCGATGGGTCCCAAAAGACCTGCACGCCGATTGCTGAAGAAGGAGGTATCACTCGATACTTACACCTGGCAGAGAAAATATGGCCATTTAACTTCTGGAATTATGGTGGCAGCTGTTGAGGATCGGTTGAAGCGACGATTCAGTGTCAGCGCTTCGATGGAAGAAATTAGTAAAGCGGGTCTTGCCGATTCACAAACAAGTCTGGCACGCTCTCAGCAAGCAGCTCTGGCCCAATCTCAACACTTTGATCAGCTTGAGGCTTTGTGGAATAAACAGTCACCACCACCGAGACCTAGGGGTGCCCTATCGAAGACCTTGTCCAAGCAGAGCTCACTGCAGGCTACGAGAATATCCGATTCTGATGAGGACCAAGGTTATTATTTTTATTGGAATCAATTGACTAATCGACTCTGTTAATTACTATATTTTTTATATCATTGGGTTTCAGATACTCCAGCGGATTAAGTAGTCACGTAGACCCCAGTATTGGCTGCAATTAATTAATCAACAGAGTTTCCCTCATTGAGGCGTATGGCCGTCTTCAATTACAAGTGTCAAGTCTACAGTCTTCTCTATAATATGTAACTTCCAACTAAATTGCAGTGGGCAATCCTATCCATCAATAAATTACGAATGTTACAATTAAAAGGTGCGTTGTTATTATTTTTTCTCTCAATTTCAGTATTTTTTTATCAATTAAAAAACAATGAAAATGGAATTTAAAAAATTAAGTGGTTCATTTTATCCGCCTTCCACCATTCGATAAATTGAGTTTATATTTTTTATTATTTATAATTGTACTGAGTATTATTTATAATTGTACTGAGACCAGAAGACAAAATGGTGGCGAAAAGGGTCAGGGGAAAAATGAAAAAGAACACTCCAGAGGTTCAACGATTTCAATAATTTATTTCATCTACATCAATGATATCTCCTTCATCTCCACTAATGTTAGTAACAATATCGTTGAATAGTTATAAAAAAAATACACCAAGATTTAAATCCCCCGGTCGTTAAATATTTTGTACAGTAAAGCATTTAACAGGTAAGTCGCGCTCAGTATTCGATGAATCGTCGTTCGTTCTCAGTCCAATATTTTTCTCCAGATCTCACAGCTGATGCTCAGGCACAGTTTTACATTAATTTCGAAGGAATTTAATCCATTAAAAATTCTTGATCACGAGTGATAATAAACAAGCGTTAGTAACTGATAATTCATTAGCGAAGAGTCAACAGATCGATAGAAGAATTTTTGTGAAATTCCTCTAGATCCAGTAGAGATACCGAAATTTCACATAAGATCGTTTTTGTAGGTTCCCCTGAAAGCCACAAAAAAGGTTATTACAGAAATTTAATTATCTCCCTTGGACTCCGAGATATCCCTCAAAGAGGCGTTAATTAAATCGACGTGTCGCCCGTGCGCTATTGACTGAATTTCTTCATTCCAAAATCACATGAGAAGCCATCAATTGGGAAAAGGAAGTCAGTCTCTAAAGAATTGTCCCAAATAATCACAGGAACTCGATGACTGGAAACAGCTGAGGATTTCCTCCACAGTCACAAGTTCATTTCTATTCCGCTCTCCACTGGAAATGTGCCAAGAAAATTTTCAATCCCCGATATCTCCAGTCCCAACGATAGAATTTCCATAATTTTTTATTCACTTGCAGCAATGAAAATTCTCTCCAAAATGAATTAAAAATCATCGAAATCCACTAAGCCGATCCCGAGATATCGGCGCCTGAAGGCCCGACGATTTCGTAGATCTCCCCCTCATCATCGTAAACTCATTCCTCTCGGTTAATTAATTATTAATTATTTAGTGCTGATAGGCTGGAGTGAAGTATTGCGTGCCAGGTGGTGCTCTGTACCCAGGGTAAGTACTATTGAGTGCGTGTTGCGCAAAAAATCCACTGTAATCCTTGTTTACCCGACGCGGCCGAAAAATCGGTCCCTTCGCCAACTCCACCCTGGCCCGATTTTCCGCCTCCGTCTGGGCCTTAACCGATGCCGGTGGCCACTTCATATCGCCCCTCATATTTCCACTAATTGGCGCCATTGTTGCTGCTGGTTGTGCCTGGTAAACTGGCGCTGGTACCTGTTGTACATTTATTTATAAATATTTAACCGAAAATTATGGCATTGGGAAAGTTTCCAAAAAATCGGTGAAAAATTTTCGCGGTGGAAATAGTTTCCAAGGATTAATGCCAATAATTATTATTAATACTTTCAATCCTATCAATAATTCCTATTTAATTCCACGTAATTTTAACTCATTAAATAAAATTAAAAACAATTAAAAATAAAGAGAGGGAATGGTGAACCTGAGAAATCGGTAATTCGGGCCTCAAAGTGATGATGGACGGTGGAGGTTGAGAAATGGGCGCCGGATGTCTAGGAGTTGCCTCGATCGAGTCCGATTTCTATAAAAAAAAATTAATAAAACAATGATAAAAATCATCAATCCTGTTGTAACGATTCTTGATACATGATTTTATAAATTGTTATTCACTGAGTCGTGCATTTTAAAGGATTACCTTGAAGACTGGCTGATGGGATTGCGGCGATCCCCAGGATATCTGCGCTGGTAATGGAGAGGTGGCGGGTGGTGTGACAGGTGCCCAGGATTTCGGTGGTACCTGGTGTTGAAAGGCCAGAGGTGTTCGGAGGATACCCCCAGGGCTTAAGGGAGTGGAGATTTGTGGTGATGCACAGGTGAGATTGTGGGGCTGTGGTGATGGGCCCGATGTGGGACTCGTCTCGTATGACACGTACTCACCGACTCCTCGGGTCTTCGCATAAATATTATTTACGTTTTTTTTTTTATTCCTGGGGGTATCTCGATATCTCGGGGTATTGGATTTCCAGGGGAAACCACCAACTCGGGGGTGCACACGGTTACACAAATCATGCGGTATTTATTTATTTATTTATTTATTTATTATTGTTGTACCTTTGCCTGGACTGGTGATTGCTCGATGAAGTCGATTTCGTCGTCACCTGCTGGTGGAGGCCACGTCACTCGTTTCAGACCTTTATTCATTATTTATTTGTTAGAATTTATTTAAATAATATCGAAATTATACGATTTTTAGATTGAATTTTCGTAATCTCTCACTGGAAATGAAAAATTTCATCAAAATTCTTTGAAGTTTAATTATAAACATCTGGTAATTAATATGAATAATTTAAATAAATTCAGAAATAAAAAGGGGAGAAGAAAAATAAATTGCCTCTTCTAATTTTATCGCGGATTTATTTAATTTTTCCAACTGTTAAAAATAGATAAACGAATTGTATTTTTAGTTTGAAATAATTCCACGATTTTCTCGAATCGCGGTAAAAAAATAAAACTCAAGACCCACGGAATATTTTTATTCATGCAATTTTATCACGTGACTTTTTTGAACTGCTCTCAACAATATTTTCTAAATCACTGTTTCACCACTCGATGCAATGCAAATGGAAATTTCCTGAGTGAAAGATCGACTCGGATTAAATCGAGAAATCGCCAAGTCCTCGAAATTCATTTTTCATTTCGATGATGGAATTTTTTTTCACTCTCGCACTTCACGGGGAAAAAAATATCGCGAAAATATATTCAATTAAGTCGACGAGGTATCGATATTAATAGGTCCACGGTCTCGATATATTTAGCCAGCCCCGAAGAATTCAGAATTTTGAAAACACGATTCTGTAAAAACTGACGAGTAAAAATCGGAGGAACGAAAAATAAAAAAGAAAAATAAACGTCTGCGTTAATCGGTGGATTATCTTCAATGAATTAATCTGGATGTCTACCGATTCAATTCGCCAAGTCTCGGGATTGATTTTAATTGATGAGAGAGTAGAATAGCGAAAACTAGATCTCTCTGGCAAACTGAAACACCAACTGGTGGACATAACTCGATAATCGCGGTAACGACCCGGCAAAAGGTTTATATACACCCAAGGTTTTAATACTGTGCCAGGATTTTACAGGTAGGAGGGGATCCATTTAACTAATAAAAGATAATGGACCGACGATATCCCACAAAAAATCGGTAATCCTCGAAAAAAAATCGGCCCTGAAATTTTTTAGCCCCAAAAATACCGTTGAATCCAAGAAACTAATGATTTTACAGAAAAATATCCGAGGAATTTTCCCTTGGGAATTTAATTAGCTACAAAAAAGGTCTTTTGGAATTTCTAAATTAAATCGATATTTTCCGAGATAAATCGATATTATTAAGAAAGATTGAAATGTACACTGTAGTAGTTGTGATTGATTTGTTGTTTTGAATTTTTATTTTATTATATTTATAAAAAAAATGATGGGAGTTGGATTCATTAATTCAATTGGTAGTGATTGTTTTTTTTTCTGGTGTTAATTTTAATCGGAGAACTTCGTGAATAATTTAGATAATATTTTACATGAATTGATTACTTGCGATGTCATCCCAATTAGGGTTTCTGGGCCGACAATTAATTTTATTCTTGTACCTCGTGCCGATAAATTTGCCCGCGAGTATCATCTGAGAATTACGTGAATCACCGGCTCCACTAATAACTCCCAAGTGTAAGAACAATAAATCGATTGGAAAACGATCGGCAGAACGAAATTTCCCGATTGTTTTTTTAACGCGATTTTTCCAAACTTTTGCTTCGGGAAATTGAAAAACCGATTGAGTAATGGATTAATTAAATCTACATTTATTGGAATCTGTAGAGCGATTTTTCATTCCACGATTTTTAGAGATATCGTCAATGAATTTTTTTAGGCACTCACCCGGTTGTCCGCCATTTCGTTTCCTCGCCTCTTCCTCTTCCAACATTTTGAGGACCGCACTGTTCTGCAAGTTCGCCGGTTTCGCCAGTTGATTAAAATCAATCCTAAACACAGGAAATCAATAATCAATCGATCGTAAATCGGAAAAATCGGTGAAACCGAGGGGAAAACCGCCGATATCTCCACCCCCACCGATCCGATTCCACCCCACGAGGGCTCATTTTATTCAGCAACAAAAAACTCAAAAAATGAAAAAAAAAATCGATAAATTCCACTCAACGAATCGCGAGATATCGTTTCAAGACCATTGGAAATCGGTGCGCCCCAGGAAAAAATCACAAAATCAAATCATTCACAGTGAAAATCGATCGAACCTCATGATTAATCGATATTTATTTATCCGCTGTCCACCGGTCCGGTCTGATCAGTCGATCCCGAATCAATGCCTCGATATTCGAAAAACTGAGTCAAGAACGGGTTTGCGCAATTCGCGCGAGTGAAATCGCAAATTTATTTCTGTTCTAGGGAGTGATTCGTTAATCTGAAAATAAATATCTATGATTCATCCCCCGATGCATAATTTTTCAACCAATCATTGACGCAAGGTGGTTCACCAGGTGCCAACAGATGTAACAATCCATCTGTTGTGATCTTCGTTTAGAATTTTCTCAAGTTACTAATAATCAGAAATAATTTCACAACATTGACGCAAATTTACGCGGTCCTTCGGTCACTCTGGCTGCAATCCAGATGAAATATTTCCGTCTGACTTTCAGCATTTCGAATTCCCGTGAATAATTCATTCAGAAAAATAAATATTTAAAATCGGCACTCAATCCTTTATTATTCTAATTAATCAATCAATTTTTATTATTTTTTTTTTCACTCCATTGAGTGTTCGCAAAAATGAAAAAATTGAGTAAATGAAAATTATTGCAATCATTGCAATTATTGCAATCATTGCAATTATTGCAATTATTGCAATTATTGTATTTATTTTCAAAGGAAAAAATGAACGGAATTAAAAATTTATGCAACCGATTTTTAAATAAAAAAATTTGTTTATTAAGACTCACCCGATGGCACCATTCGCCAATATTTTTGTCTGTCTCTCCAACGTCTCCTGAACAGCCTGCGGTGAATACAGGTTAATAGGAGAATTGAATTGCTTGTTAACAAGCTTTGGCATCTGTCCTGTCAACATCTTTGACACCAACCAACGTACCCCTAAAAATTAAATTTCACCGCCAATTGATTCCGGGAATAACCGAATCATTAATTATCCAGATATTAATTAATCCCGTTAATTCCATGCGAAATATCCTCGGGGAAAACTAGTCTGGAACTAGTCGATTATCGCATCGAACTCCTCATTATGTCAGGGATCAAGTGACGGTGTCGTAATAACAAGGGGTGGGGCAGAACGGATTTTATATTAATTACATAATTTATTTGGTGTATGTATTATATATTTTTTAATTAGCCGGTGGAATTCAGGATTATTTAGTCCCTCGTTTAATTTATTAGAGCGATGATATAAATGATAGGGCAATTGGGAACCGATTTTTTTGGTAAATGCAATTTGTTTTTTGATTTGGTAATCACATATGTATAATATAAATGAGAAATTCCACTCGCGACGACAAGTAACTGCTTGGCCTACTATACCTCCGCGGTTATTTTCGATGTAGAAATTCCGGCGAATTATATTTATCTTATATTTCTTTGACATCTCGAAAAAATTTTAGGATCGTCTTTCACTGGACGAATTATCTCGCAATCCATTGGGTAATTTGAAATTTTATTTTCGAATTAATTGATGTAATTGATAATTAGGAATTCATAGAAATTTTTACTCCATTGATATTTCAACTGCTAAACAAATTAATGGAATTGTTTATTAACACCCGGTGACACTCGTCAAATAAATCGCAGTAATTGGATAATTGAATCGGAATAAACGAGTTAATTAGATAATTGAATATTGATAAATTAATTTTGTGGGATTAATTTATTTGTGTACATCGGTTGGAATGAAAATTTATTGACGCAATTGTTTATCTGAGAATAACGGAATATCGGAGTTATTGTTATCGTGTCATTGAATTACTCACAATTGTTGCTCAATGGTGAATGGAAAAATCAGCGGAATAGTGATAAATAGTTAATAATACCTCGGATATAACGATGATGGAATTTAACGTGCGTCGGAAGAAGTGGGGATCAAAACTAAAACTAAAATCTCGAAAATTTCGGGTGAGACGTAACTCTTCCCGCCTCTGTATTTTCTTTACTCCCCAAATCCCCTCTTTCTCATCTCTCTCGTTTCATTTTTCCTCTTCACTCGAGTTATTTTTAATATTCAAACCCACACTAATGCCCTCGATCGTTGTGAAATTATCATACAATAATAATCCACGCGGAAATTCATTAAAATTATCATTAATTTATCACGATTTTCTCCATAATTCACCAGAAAAGAATTATTTCCATTTTTCTCATTCAAATCTATATCTTTAATCTCATATTACCAATTTCCCTCTATTAATATTTCATCATTAATTACACTAACAACAATAATATTAAATAAATAAAATTACTATCAATTCGATAATAATAATAACGGTCTCTTTACTTTGTACTTTAAAATAATAATATCGAAATTTTAAAAATCCCTCGCAATCAAATTTCCCGCGCTTTTAAAAATGAATGGTAATGGCCGTTTTTACCGACGCCACCGCAGCGTCACCACCGTCGGCTCTCATTACGTCGTATCCCGGAATTCTGTGAAATTTCCCTTCCATCCCACCTCCCTCCATCCTTTTTCCACCCATTATTTTAAAAAGAGACCGCCAATATCCCCCGCAAAATGGCGGCCAATCCGTAGAGCGCTTTCGACCCGACGCATCGCGTCACCGCCGCCATTATAGATTCCGTTGTGAGTGACTGAGTTGTTCCCCTCGAAAGAATTTCATCGATTTCACTGGTAAAGACGGACATAATCCACCGATATTAACCGAAAATAAAAACAATTGAGGGAGTTAACAAAGATATTGAGATGAAAACGTACAGTAGAAAGAAGGGTGACAGCCCTAGCAACGTTATTATTCACGTTAACGAGTTATGCCGACTGTGTCTGGCCAAAGAGGAAGAGATGGTGCCGATTTATGATGACGAGGCCGTACCACTGCCCCTGAGAATCATGGCATGTGTTAACCTGGAGGTAAGTTCAATTGTTCTATTTATTTTCATCCAGAAAATGCACTTCTACTGGGTTAATTTCTCATTAACGCCTTGGCGCTATCACTTGTCTCCATGAAAATAGGAATCTAGTTTATCTCGACTGGATTCCCTCTATCTCCATTCTTTTTGTCACTTGCCTTGCCTGATAATGGATTTTACCAACTTTCATTGGGGTATCGAGCACCTGGGGATGAGTTTTTGAGGTCGGGATGGCTGGCGGTGAATTTTCTTGGCGGGATTTGTCGTTTTTTTCGGGACTGATCTTTTGGCGGGGAACGAGTGAATTTTTTCTGGGGGAATGTTCAGGGAATGGCTCGTTATTTGGTGACGATTGGTTATTACAGGGATCTAGCACAGGAATCTATCGCAGGGATCTGTAATTTTTGATTGGTCGACCTTGGGATCGGGTTTTTGAGGTAGAAGAGGCAGGGGATGATTATTTGTTGGGTAAAAGAGGTCTCTGGATTTTTCTTGGAGTTATCAAGAAGATTGATAACATCAACTTATCTCGAAATAGCTATTTTTCCCTGTGGATGATTTCCAATGATGATTGTCCCCAGGTCTACGAAGAGGATGGTCTTCCCAATATGATCTGCCACCCCTGCAAGTACCAGCTGGAGAAATCCTACCAATTCAAGAAGAAATGCGAGGCCGCAGACACAAAGCTGCGAAAGCACATGAAATTGATTCACCGGTTGACAGGCCTGACCGAGGAGACGAGTCAGGATGATGGGAACGAGTCTGGTGACGAGGGATCGAGCAGTGGCAAGTCACGTCAAGTGAAACAACTCCTGGCAGATCTGGTGGCAGTTAAAGGGGATGGGAGCCAGACAGATGGTGGTGCAATCGAGGTGACAGAGGAGGAGCTCGTTGGTGGATACATCCTGGGAATGAGTGCAGAGAACATGGACACAGAGGAGACAATCTCCGAGGGCCCCTCCAACATCACTCTCATTCCAGCTGAGGAGAAAACAGCAAAGGCTCGTTGCACCATGAGAGCGGCCAGAATAAAGCAGGAGCAGGAGTCCGAAGACGATGGTGAGGACATCCAGAAGGGGGAGAAGAGAAATGTCTACATGATGGAACTGACGAGCCATCAATCAGATAATCTCAAGCTCCAGCCCATGGGGGATTCCATGGTGGAGGCGAGTGAGGAGATGAAGGTCTTCAAGTGCGATCAGTGCCCCAAGGCCTTCACCAGGAGAATAATGCTGAAGAGTCATCAGTCTGTTCACTCTACCCAGCGGGGATTCACTTGTCAGGCATGTGAGAAGTGGTTCCCAACGAGATCTGCTCTGATCAGACACGAGAGGACTCACACTGGGGAGAAACCATTTGGCTGCAACATCTGCCACAGGGCATTCGCACAAAAGGAAATTCTCCTTCGTCATCTCATGACTCATTCAGGACAGAAACCCTTCCAGTGTCAGGATTGTGATAAGAGCTTTACCCAGAGGGAGGCACTCAGGGTTCACATGAGGCGTCATCAGAAGCTCGATCCCAATGATATTCAGCTTCATCATTGTCAGCTGTGTCCCAAGGCTTTCTGTCATGCATCTGGACTCAGCAGACATCTCGTTACACACACTGGGAGAACTTACAAGTGTGTCGAGTGTGAGAAATCTTTTACTGATAAGAGCTCTCTGCTGAGACACAGCCGCATACATGCACCCAAGAAGATGTAGATTTGATCCTGAAAATTTGGGGGGAAAGGAGAATGGCTTCTGGGGTTTTAAAATTGAATGGGAGAGAACCGTCGATTTTTTTTTTGCAATACTTAAAGAAAATGATAAATTATAATTATCTCATTTTATTACTTCAATGATTTGAATTTTTAGTTTGAAGGAGTGCTGAGGATAGATATCGATCTCTAGGATTTAGAGAGAAAAATTTTAACTCCAGGGGCTGGGATTTTCCTAGGGCTCCCAGTACAATAGCATTAATCTGATAGATCACATAATTCTAAGGTTGAGAGGAACTCTTTCTGTAAGAATAATTAATTTCATAGTTATTATTATTTTTGAATTCAGTAGCAGAATGTTAAAATAGAGAAAAATTTCCGATTGGAATATTATCAAGTTTTCCATTTTGCCACTGAGTTTCTTATTACTGATGATTGATAGACGTTAACTGGAACTAATTTTACTGTATATATTCGAATTTTCGAAAATGACATTTTGTATGTACCAGATTTTGGAAATTGGGAATTTCCCCCAGTCTCCAATTCTATTAATTCATAATAAAAATCATGAACTTTCGAAATAATTTTCTTTATGATTGTACTGATGTAATAGTGGATCCTGTAAGTGTTGTAGGCATGAACATGAGATAATTATCAATAAACGAGATAATGAGACAACAAGGGGAAATTTTTAAAACCACATTTGACATTTCTCTCGTATTTATTTCATAGTTTGTCGATTTGACGCTGTAATTTTCACATAATCATTGATCAGGCTAATCTAATTGATTTATTATATCGGTAAAACGTCGATGAAAATTATCTAATAATCTATGACAATTTTCCAATTACAAATATCGCCGTTGGTTTGATGAAACATCAAGCTTCATATAAATTCGTAGTCAACATCAATTCTCAATTCATGAGTACAAAGCTACGGTGATTCACTTCTAGCTCTGTTTAATCAGAGTCCACTGATGGGACGAATAATTGGGGACTATTTTTTACACATTTTCTATGGCTTTCCAGTAGACACCAACAATTTTTCTTTACAAATCGGCGTGTCACTGGATTTTTTAGTTTTATTAAAAAATATTCTCTTGAAATCCACGTTTAACCATGATTTTTTGTTTATTCAAAAAACATAAAAGAGACTCTGCACTCCCTCTCGTTGCATTGTAACTGAGACAATTAATTCATTTCGAATGTCAAATAATTCCAATGATTCCAAAAAAAAAGTCAAAATTGGTCATAAAATTAAATTCAGCAGCAAAGTAGTAACTGTAGACGAAGTTAACTTCATAAAATATTAATTTACGTCAGAAACCACTGGTTTCAGGAGGAAACAGTACGAGACCTTTTTTGTGGAGAATTTAATCGCCTGCAAAAAAAGTTATTATCAGTTTTTCCATTAAACAAATATTTTTCGAGATAAAGCGCTACTAAGTGAAGATATTGAATTGGTCTCGAGTCGTTTACTACTGTACAAATGGATAGGATATAATTTCGAGAAAATATCGAACTGTTTTGTTCTGCAGAGAGAAAGAGAGAGATAAAATTAAAATACTCTTCACATTATAAACTCCCACAATGATCCCAATGTCTCTCAGCGGTATTTCATACCCATTCGCATTTCGATCTACTATAACAAGAGACAATTTCACTGTATTTTATATACACAAACTTACACGATACTTAAAATTGAGGGGGACTGTCAGTTAACTGATACGAAGAAAAAAAAATAAAATACCAAATGAAAAGGGGATGTGCAACATTTTGAGCTCTGCCTTATGCTTCCAACATCGAGGGGCCATTTTAATTTGTACTCAAATCCAAATAAATCTACCACTAAAAAAATCCTCACTCATCGCAATCTACTTAAATTATTAACTGACGAACGTAAAAGCTGAACCAAAGACAAATTGATAATTATCTGAATTAACGTGACTGTGAGTGAGAATATATTTATAATAATCAGCTGATAACGTATTCGAGGGGCTCCTGCATTTATAATGTAACATTTAACATGATGGATCGATAGGATTTATTTATCTCTTCATTTCATTTCTTCCAGCATTCATCTTAGAGGATATCCTCTCATCAATCGAGAATGAGTTGTTTCGGTTGCTCCCAGGTGAAGCCATCTCGCCCAAAGTGACCGTATGTGCTAGTCTGTTGATAGATTGGCTGCCGAAGGTTCAATTCTCTGTGAAATAATTGAGAGAACAAATTCCAATAAAACTTCCCACCATTTTCCAACGAAACAATAACTTTTTCCAGTGAATTCATTTCAGTGCGATCTCCCTACGTCATGAAAAAACATTTATTTCCGGTGTATTATCTGGCTCTGTAATATATCACTTGGTTTGTTTCAACGAGTCGATGAAACCATTACATAAAATTATTTTAAACCACCTCCCTCAGTTTATTTTTCACATCACGGCACTCAAGAGTAGCAAATACGTAATATAACATCATTGAAAGGTGGTTTTTTATTATCACAGGTCTGAACTAACAATTATTTTTTCCCCAAAAGACTTATTTTCCTCTCCTGACGTATTTTAATGTGCCACTCCCCCAATTGTATTTGTTCATCCTTATCTTTACACATCCACGAACAACTTGATTTTTCAATTTTATTATTTAAAAACTTACTTGACAATCTTTCCAGGGCGAAGGTCAAAATTTTTATTGACAATTCCCAACAGCTTCTCCTGAGACATCTTTGATGTACCATAATCGAAGACTGTGATGGACAGGGGCTGAGCAACACCAATGGCATATGAAACCTGAACGAGACAGCGCCTGCAGAGGCCAGCCTTAACCAGAGACTTGGCCACCCATCTAGCAGCATAAGCAGCTGATCTGTCGACTTTAGTAAAGTCCTTTCCTGAAAATGCACCACCACCGTGTGCACCCCATCCTCCGTAGGTATCAACGATTATCTTTCTCCCAGTGAGACCAGCATCGCCCTGTGGTCCACCGATAATAAAAAGTCCACAAGGATTCACATGGAAAACAGTCTTCTCATCGAGGTATTTAGCTGGTATGACTTCCTTGATGACCTTGTCCATAACAGATCTGCGAAGTTCATCGAGTGTTACTTTTTCACTGTGTTGAAGTGAAACAACGACAGTATGCACACGAACTGGCACACAAGCACCCTGATCCATCATGTACTCGCATGTGACCTATTAAAATAATTCTGTAAGTCTATTTAAAGGTGTTAAAACATGAAAAATTATCAATGAATATATATCATCATAAATACTTGAGTCTTCGAGTCTGGTCTTGCCCACCATAATTCCCCACTTCGTCTGAGCTCAGCAATCTTCTGATTGAGTTTGTGGGCCAATACAACAGTGAGTGGCATGCACTCATCCGTTTCATCGGTTGCATAACCGAACATTAATCCCTGTTATTTGAAAAAAATCACTGGTAAATTGGTGATTTGTGATAACGACAGGGTCAACACAGAGAAAACCAGGGATTGAGTATGATTATTGGGTTAATTATGCAATCGTGCCATCAGTGCAAGTGATGATGGTAATGGTACAGCTGATAATGCTTAAACACCAAGCGTTAATAATCGTGAGATCAATTTGATCTCAACAAATTTCAAATTGTCAGAGTGAAAAGTATGGGAAGTGTATTATTTTAATCTCTCGACATGAAAGGCAATTTTCTTGCATTATCAAGCAGGAAATCGAAGGAGCAATGAAAAATCGTGCAAATTGCATCGTTTGTCCAGGTGCTGCGGGTTTTCGGAGCTCCACATGCACTTGTGGCCCAATTTAATTCATGCCTCCTTGGGTGTTGGAATTAGTAAAATGAAGAATATGTACACGAGCTCATCTATATATCTACTTTCGTGGAAAAAAAAAATATATAAAATATTTAGTCACAGAAAACTACAGAGATCGGTGCAATGTACAAAGCAAACTCGTAAGAATTGAGACTAGAGTTCAACTACTGAAGATTGATTTGATTTTATCAATTGACCTGATCGCCAGCACCGACTTCTTCGTCGCTGCGATTCTGATGCACCCCAGCAGCTATATTTGGGGATTGTGCATCGATAGCCATAAGGACGCTGCAAAGTTTGTAGTCAAAACCTGTTGGAAGTGGTTTAATAATGTGAGAATCGGGGCCCATCCTGAGGCTAACAGCCTATCGATAGTACAGTCGTTGAATCAGAAAAAAAAATTTACATTTCCCATTTTTATCGCACAATGAGGGGTTATTAATGGTGAAATGGTGGCAATAATTTAGTTATCACGTATTTAAATCGTCAACTCTTCGTGCGTTCCTGGATGCAACTGATGAGCTGATAAAACCCAGTTTATTAATGACTTTCGATGATATCTTGTGATTTATGAATGATAACACGTTGTCTGAAATGAACAATCTCCTCACATCGTAATATTATGTGTTTATAGTTTTATTTTTTTGTTTCTTTTGCTGCTCTGTGGCACGGGCTGAGAATGGATTATGTACCTGATCACCGGCACCCAAGTCCTTCTCTTCCCTGTCCACATGTACACCGTCTGCGATATTGGGTGATTGTTGTTCGATCGCCACCAAAAGGTTCAACGTGCGCCAATCAAATCCTGCCACCACCATTTACACTTTTACGTTAATTCAATTTAGACGAGTATGAAATAATTCAATGGATAAATTCACGGCTTTCTGGGAAAGCTTTGGGAAATTTCTGGGAGAATCTGGTAGATAATTTATTGGAATTCTGTTATTGTTTCCGAGTCAAACAGAACTGAGAATTATTCAGTCATGAAAAAAATAATCTGTTAGGAGTCGTTTGGAATTGTAATGAATTATCATTGAATTTCTATCAGTTTTTTTGTTGCTCTATTGAATATTTTATGGGGTAAGTGAATAGATTTCCATTTTCATATGAATATTCTCTTAAAATTTTTTTATGAAAGCCCTGACTGTGAATTAATAAGAGGAAAAATACTGAAGGAAAGCATAAAAAAAATTCTGATAGGAAAAATTTCAATAGAATGGTAATGGAAGTTCTAGGGTTTGAGCAGAAATTCGGAATAATTTCTCGAGAAAGCGATGGGTTTGTCTATTGAAGTTATTCATACTTGAAGTATTGAGACGCGCGAATTTCACGAGTGAGGATTTTTATTGAATAATTTATTAAATACTTCAATATCCGGGGAATGGAGTGTCACTCTCAGCTGGGTCTTGTCATCATGGCAATCAAGAGTAGCAAATACAAGGTTGAACATCATCGAGTGACTGGAGGGATCTTTTAATCGACTTCTTGAATTTTCGTACCTTTTGACGAGTCGTCGTACCCGATGTGACTGACTGTATCTCTGACGATTTTCTGGTAGTCCACCACTGCCTTGGAGGTGATCTCACCGCACAGGAGAATCATTCCAGTTTTGGTGACAGTTTCTGTTAATTATTTCAAGTTCTTATTCATCTTCCATTTTCCAAGTTAATCTCAATTATCGATTTACCGCGAGAATCGCTGATTTAAATGGAAAACACCAGAGGACTTTTCCGTAGCTATTGTAATTTCCGAGAAAAAATGTCTCTTGATACTTTCTCTTGAAATCAATAGCTTTGGAAATAAATCGAGTTTTTGCATTGATTTGAAGAATTTACTGTTTGGATGATTGGGGTTTATTAATAATTGATGGATTAAGGAATTCATTTGATTCTCGGTTGATTCTCAAGTAAATAGAATATTGAATTCTTTCAGGATTTCATGTTTGAATAAGAACGGCTTAATATAAGGTACAAGGTCGACCGAGGCTACCGAATTATGAAGAATAATAATTTGAATACAAAAGAAAACAGCTCCAGTCGATCAATCGACTTCAATCCCCCTCTCACCCTCTCGCGACCCTGAGGAAAACAACGAAAAAGAAAATAAGACTTACCACAAGCGACTTTAGCATCTGGGTCCTGCTCCAAGTGGGCATCCAGGATGGCGTCACTGATTTGATCGCACATTTTGTCTGCGAACACAAAAACAATCACTCAATGAGAAATATCTCGGCATTAGCAGAGTGTAAACTCGCGAATTTAATTTTATTCCAAAGCTATTTTCTTGCCCTTCGAAACAAAACTTTATTCACTCGAATCGAATCGTTACCTCTCCCGATATCCCGACCCAAACAAAGGGTATTACTCCAATTTTTTTTTGATTACATCATGCAAACAATTATTCAACGCGGAATATTTCGGGATCGACAGAGTGAAAACTGAGGAATTTTGTCTCATTCTAGAGTCATTTTTCTCCTCTTCAAAATAAAACCGCATGGACTCGAATCGATTCGATAGTTTTTTCGATATTCCGCTGCAAACTATAACCGTCATCTCTCTCAGAATTCTTTCCACATCATGGCATTCAAGAGTAGCAAATACAAAATTCCACATCATTGAGAGATGCATCAGCCAATCTCCCCCTCAATTAAAAGATCCCCAAACCGATAGCCAATGCAAAAAATAAAAAAACAAAGAGATTGAAAAATCGAGAACCGGAAGAAGCAAAGCACATGGCGCGGTAACCGACTATGTAACATGTAACCTAATATCCCATCTCCTCCCATAACCTCTGAGGCAATTTCATCCCTCAAAAAATCCTCTAACCCAGTGGCAGTGCCCTGAGAGTAGCCCTGAGAGGGTCCTCAGGTGCCGCAATTAAAAATCTAATTCAACCAAAACAAATTTTCCAACTGGAGGTCCAGGAAAAGCGTGCGCCTGTGAGGAGCTCGAGAACTCAATTCTAGGGTTGAAATAAGAGTCTTAGATGAGGGAATGAGCCATAAAAATTTAAATAAAATCACCTGGATGACCCTCTCCGACGGATTCCGAGGTGAAGAGGAATGTCGTTGCCTGTTGGAGTTCAGGTGGCGCGTGTCCATTAGCGTATCCATTCATTCTGTGGGACGTTGCTGTCTCCGGCATTTTTCTATGATGATTTACAGATGATGACACTGTACGACTCACTGACAAATATCTTTTAACAGAATTTCTCGGTGGCTGAATGTATTTGTGTTGACACTTGATCAGTGGCTTCGGAAATATTGTTTTAACAATAGCGTCCGATGATCGAACCAGCGATTGCACTGAAGGAGAGTTACGAATGTTAAGAGACTTAACTTCGGTTGCCACCCGTTATTTATAACCATCCCACTCACGAGGACAACACTTCGGCACTGCTCGGATCACGTGGACACGCCACCGTGGCGCTCATTTTCAAATGCCGCCGGCAGAAATTCATTAACAATTCCCACAAATACTTTCTACAATTTTTTATCATATTTATAAACTCTAAAACACCTCTTCCAAAATTATTTATTCTGTTCGTATCGAATTCGTTACCTTTTACTCGAATTATTCAATCATTACTGTAATATTCAGGGAATTTTTTATTAACAATTTGTAAAAAATCATTAACATTTCAGTCTATTATTTAACGACAAGAAATTCCGGCTTTCAAATACGAATGCCGCCCCCACGGATCAAATCCTTATCTCGTCACACAGTTTAGTAATTTTTCCAATTCCATCAACATTGTCCGTCTTATCATAAAAAACCTATTGTTTATTGCTTAGCAACACGTCCCCTCGATGCCACGTGATACGTCATGCCCAGTGATTGGTTGGATAAACATTTAAAATATCGAACGGTATTTTAAAAATTACCGGAGGATTTTTAAAAAATTCTGAAAAATCCACGCGACCATGAGTTTGAGGTTATACCTGGGTATGGATACCACAAGTATTTTGCCATTGATGTTTTTTTTATTAACAATAAAAATGTGACACGAGCAGCGCCGAAGTCATCATCGCTCTCCTGCAACAGATTTTATTTTATTTTATTTTATTTTACTTGCAGATCAATCGACGCTCGGTGAATTCTCAGAAGTCACGAGTCAATAACAAGAACACTCAACAACACAATCATGTCTGAAAACTCACTGTGCGAATAACTTTATGCCATGCATCGGTATCTCAATGTAATCGGACCTCTCAAGTACAATGGGATAAGAATATAAATTTAACATTTCGTATGGGTTTATCACTCGCCCAGATGACCTCCCAAGCAACGAAGGATTTGATTAATAGTCATTTCAAGTCATTTTAGTAATTGAAGAGTCACGGATTCGAATCCCAAATTTTTCTCTCGAAAATTCTGACTTCTACAGAATATTCATCTCCAAAATTCATTCGTTTTTCGTTTTGAATAAAAATAGTGGATTGATATGAATATTTTTTTAACGATAAATTGGCGTTTTTAGACAAAAATACTTCGATGATTTAATTTTAATCGAATGATTTTAATGCTATTAAAAATCTTCGGTAATCACATTAATTTTTTTGTTATTTATGGGATAATAGTTTTCCGGAGTCGATTATTGGAAAAATAAGTGATAAGTGGTTCAGTAATTACCGAATATGATGAAACATCGACAGTTTTTAATCTTATCCTCATCGTCGTGATGACGAAACAGAGAGCAAAACAGAAAACGTGACAGTTTCATGGAATCATTCAAATCAATCTGCGGTATCTTATTTAGCCCCAGAGCTTTATTGTGATGTTTTCATTTCTAATGCAATGTTTTCTTCTCAGAATCGAGGGATTTTTCCAGATGGGGATCGAACAAAGAATTTCCTCCGGGGGTCCAACAGTAAATCGGCAGCCGTTAATTGCAAAAAAATGGGATAAAAGTCATTAAAAAAAGACTTATAATGATTCACGTGTGCGATACATGTACGCATGTACCAAAAATGATAGCTTATCATAATAGTGTCAGTAGTGATAGATGGTTTATGACTTTTGGCGGTCATCAGATACCAAAAATTGCTAATCAATTGCCTAAGGCACGAGGCAAAGATGATGAAAACCTTCAGGACGATGACTGGGCAAATTATGTTATGATCTATAAATATTCTGTTTTGTGAAGTTGAAAAACTAATTATCACAATTATCACTAGTTTATGAATTTTTTCTCGATCCCCCCGGAGTAATCAATTAATCTGTAGTCTATTTCTGTAGAATCAGGTGATTATGTCAATTAGTAATTTTCACTGGATATTTTTAGAGTCAAGTTTTTCTGATAATGAAAAAAAATAAATTTATTGTGTGAATTCATTGTTAGCAGTTTCCCGATCTGAGGAGATCTATCACCACCGGAAATTGAGAGATCTTTGGTGAAATTCAAATTTCGGTTCTTTCTTCGGTGTCTGAATTTCAGTGACTCCTGATCTTCCTTTTGTTATGAAAATAGTCCGGACTTAGACTTCACCTCTGCCCCTGAAATTCTATGAAATCTCATTGAAATCGAAGCATCACGATTTCTCTGTCGTTTTTTCCCCGAGCACGTGGGATGATAATTAGAAGTGTTTTTAATAAAAAATAGATGGATGTATCGGCTGATAATTATTAAAGAGCGGCACTATTTCCTCTGTTATTTTTATCAATTTAGTAATTGTTGGGAAAAGGGAGAAGGAAATGTTGAAGGAATTTCATTTAGGACATGAATTTATATATTTTTATTTTCGAAGGGGTGGGTCGTGGACGTTTGTACATTTGATTGGGCAGATCTTTCAGGATTATTACGAAATGATAAGCGATATTTTTTCGATGGAGACAGCTTTTGATTGATAACACACTTGTCAGTAGACGGTACACATGGAGTAAACAAACGCGTCTTTGTTTTCAGAGCCGAGAGGATTGTCCGCAAATGTAAAAGAGATTGAATTTTTTTTCCTGAAACAGCTGGAAAAATAGAATTTTATTTTGAGATTTGTTATTTCAGTTTCAGGCCTTCGATAAACTGGTATTAAAACTTTTAAAGAACTCATTATAATTTTTTAATTAATCCAAGACTTTGAGAACTCAAATTTATATTTTATACTTAAAAATATAAAAATACATTTTATTAATCTTTTATATGACTGGAATAAAAATGAAAGGAGTTGGAAGAATTATTCTGCATTCTGAAATTTCTCAAGAGGAAAAAATTATGATTTTTTTTCAAAACTTGCGAAAAATAAAATCTAGTTAACATGGCAGCTATTCAGGGGATTTCCCGGGCATCGGGGTCGGTCATGCGCAGAAAAGAGACGGTCAATTCCCCTAGGTGATTTTCTCTCTCTCTCCTAACAGCTGATTGGATGACAAATTATCCAGGGAATTATCTCCCAACGCATCGGACAGAGACAGATGTCCCCCAAGTCTAGGGTGAACTTTTTTCTCTGAAAAATCCGAGAAACTCTTTCCCCTGATGTTCAATCTACCCCCGACTCATGGCTGCTCCACGGTCATAGACTTTCGCGCAAAACACTCCTCCGTAAATCATCAATGGTTATTTAAAAATGGCGGACACAACGTCTTCCGATACTACCTCAGAGTATCCTGACGACAATTTATCCGACACTGATATTTCAGCAGAACGTCAGGCACGTTTTGTTGTTGTTGGACAACGAACTGCTAGTGGAAGCAACAGTGGAAGGCATATTCTCAAGAAATTGTTTACCAGAGAGGTGAGTTTGTCGACATAACCTTCGACTCTTCGCTAGATTGGACTTTTAAAATAATTCAGTTCCTGTCTCCTGAGGATTTACAGCTTCGCCGAACGATAATTCCCTCCATTCCCTCCAGAAATTATGTAGCAATCTCGAAAAGCACCTGGAGCTCCTTGAAGACCCTAATCAAAATTATCATCAATCGATCCTAATTAATTCAGAGGACTCCGATTTCGATGGATGTAGGGCACTCTTTCACGTGCAATATTTTCGGAGCGAACGATTCGAATTCGCCAATTTTTTTTTTCAGTTTCAAGATTTTCACTCAGCCACTCCTCATATATTTTTTTCATTGATTGTTTGATGGGTTAATGGGATTTTATTTGAGTAGATCAGGGGATGCCTGTCGCAGCACAATTATTCCCCGGAGGAGAGATTGTTCACGAAAGTTCCGTCATGGGGTCATTTGCCTCTCACTCATGTCATTCCGATGTCAGCACTTCAGGCTGGGTGAGAAATTAAAAAAAAAATCATTAATAACCAACAATCATTAACATTGACGAGGAACTTATGATAATTTCAATCTCCAAGGCACATTGTCATGGGCCTGACCCAGTGCGGTCAATTCCTCCTGACGTACACCTGCAGCATGGACCTGAGGGTGTACGGATCCCTGTACAAATATTTACTCCACTGGTGGGCATTTTCACCGACTCGATTTGCACGAAAAGTGGCAGAAGTCACTCTCTTCGGGAGCTACACCATCAGCAAAGAGTTGGACGTGGTTGTTGCCCAGTGGCCTACAGAGAGAAATAAAATTGTGATACATGGATTGCACGCTGATTGGGGCAACTCTCAGACAACGGATCGAGCCTACCTCACTATCACCACGTTACCCTCGTTGAGTAATTGTCGAGAGTGCGCCAAAGTCGCAGCTAGTTACGAAGAAGAAGGTGCTGTAATTACAGAAAATTTAAATATCATCGAGAATAATTGATTTTACATAAATATTTTTACAATTCCAGAACTCGCAGCTAATTGGGACGGCTGTGTCCGCTGCAATTGCCTTCTGCATGGTTTAACAGTGCACACGACGTACGAGGTGATCTCCCCATACCCTCGATTTCGTGCCTCGGTGTGCCTGAATTACCAGAATCACGTGGTGGTGAACACAGGAAATTTCCTGCACGTTCTACGAGTTGATCTCCTGGTGCCAAAACGAAAGAGTCCCCGTCATTCCTCGAGTGACATCGATATGCCCCTGGAGACGAGTGACGTTGACGACTTGGATGACACGAGAAATGACTGCTATCCAAGCTCCACCGATAAACTCTACACCCTGGAGTCATCAGAGGCATCACCAGCCTCGTGCACTGATGATCTCAATAAATCATGTGATTGTACAAATATTAACGAGTGTGAGTGCGGTAAAAATAGTACTAATACTATTTATGAACAGAGAACAATTTCAGTGAGGGATAAGATACTCCAGGATTTCTGTGATGATGTTAACCAGGAGTTGAGTATTGGAAGTGAATCTATAACACTCGTTAAACACTCGTCGTGCTCACCGAGATCAACACCCCAGAGACTTCCAGGTGACAATCGCCAGAGTCAAGTGCTTATGCCACCATCAGACATTCTACGAACGAGAACTGAATCTAGTCAGCCAAATCCTCGTAAACGTCCAGCCTCGCCCCAGCCTGGTACCTCCCACGATCCCAACACAGTCTCCTCCATCAGCTCACCCCTCCACATTCTCTCAATTTCCCCTGCCCCATGCTCACCGAGACTCATGTCACCACCGATAATGACAGCATCATTTCGCCACCCCAGCCCCAGGAAACGCTCCAGCCTTCACTCACCACCACCTCGTACTCGAGCCACCCACAAGCTCATTCTCGAGGCTGAAAAGGCTTATGAGTTCACCGATGACACCCAGGAGACGTGTGAAAAGCTCAGTTCATTCAGAAAACGACGACTGGCTGATAAAAAGTATGAGTTCAGAGTCGAGGCTGAGGATACGGAGAATATCATTCCTTTTAAACATATTAGGGATCAGAATGAGCAGAGGTATTGCTCGTTACATCGGTATACATCCGGTGAAAGCCCTCCTTATGGTGGAGGGAAGAGATCACAGCAAGAGGACAGCGAGACTGAGGACAGTGGCAATTTGGAGGGGTTCTATGGAGGATTCAAGCCTGTCGAGGCTGGAAAAACTGTTCTCCAACCGTTGAGCCTAAATCAACGAATGTACAATATAATGTTCTGTCGTGATCGTTACATGACGGTTACGCACAATGAATCACCCTTGGCACCCAGGGCTTTTATACCCCAGCCAACAATTAAATGCACAACTCATTTTAAAAGGAGCTACATTGAGCTTGATGACGAAATGATATCTGTGATCACTGACGTGGAGGATGACGAGACTGGGGGATACGTCAGCTACCAATGTGTGCTTCCAATGCATGTTCATGGGTCCGGTTACGTCCAGATGCAGATGATCAGTAATGGCAAAGCAGAAAGAATGGTAGTTACGATTTTATCAATTTAAATGTTGTGGACATTAATTGATTTTAAACAATTATCGATTGACATTCGTTTCAGGCATTACCTCACGTATCGATCAACCAATTTAGTTTCGATATTGAAACATTCTCGCATCACATCGCCGACTGGATATGTAGGAAGTTCAAGAAAAAGTACTGGCATTGCAGTGATTACGATATAGAAATAATCGACGTGTGTTCGATAACAGGGGACGTTATTTGTTTGCTGATTATGAAGATTCAGGCGAGTGAGTACTGCAAACAGCCTAATTGCTTGCAGGAGAGGAAGATGTATGAGGCAGGCTGCAAGTACATATGGAATATAGATACGAATCAATATAAAATCACTCACATACTCCCGATGACTGAGAAATCGGGGAAAAGTGGGGGAATGGAAATGTCTACGACACCGAGTCCGCTGTGGAATCCAACTCGTTATCTTGTGCCATTACTGAGGAAACGGAGTAATCAGCATTACGTCAGGCCTGTCAGATTCTTAGAGCACTCTATGAGTTTCTCGAGTGAGTGAAAAATCATCCTACCTCGCGGTTTAATATTCCTCCGAATATCTCCGCAGGACGACGGCTCACTGGAAAGTGATAGAGAAATTTTTTGTCGGGAATCTCAAGAGCTATAAAAAAGTCTAATGAAATTTCTCATTAGCACCAGTGGTTCGCGAGATAATTAATTAATTAATGCAGAATTTGAGGGGTTATTCGCCATCACGTAGAATTTTCAGTATTTTGTTTATTTGTAAATATCTCCACGGGGAAGGGAGCTAGGAGGAAATGTGAGAGGACTTTTTTTGTAGCCGGGAAAATTTCCTATAAAAAGTTTTCTCTGAACTTTTTTCTCACATTTACCAGAATGCAGATATTCAGAGGTTTAAAATCATTTTTTTTGGGAAGCTCGGAAAATTGAAGAGTGAAGTATTTAATTATTAATAAATAATTGATTTTCAGCTGATTCCCTAGTGCAAATACTGGACATGGATAACTTGGTATCTCTCTACATGACTGCAATACCCGACGAGGCTGGGCCAGACTGAAAGTACGATGGAATTATCCAACATTGAATCATTGAAGTACAATAGCTAAATGAAAATACAAATGGAGCGATCATCGTAAATTATGGATTCAATTTATTTAAGGAAAAATAATATTTATAAATTTAATAATGAGATGTGAGATAACATTTGTTTATGCTGAATGGGCGGAACAAGAAATTCATTTCGTCTTCACTGATATTTTATTTCCTCAATTCCAACAACACCAATTCTACGATTTGGCAAAATTGTACATAAATATTTAACAATGTAAGTAAAATTATTCAGAGCTGGGGCCTTACTCTAATCAATCGAATTAAAAAAAATGCCCGATTTATCTATTATCTACTAAGATAAATAAAAATTACAGATTATTTTTCTCAACACGATAACAGGAAAAAGTATTTGTGAGAATATTGAGAGAACAAAAAAATTATTTATTATTCCATCTCCCCAGCTCTGGGAATATAAACAATAAGTGATTGTCAGTGATTGAATAATTGAATAGTGAGCTGCAATCCATCAGACATTTGGTCCCATTAAGTGATTCTCTCGTCTGAAGAATTCCTACCGAAAGAATTCCACTCACGAATAAAAATTGCCCAAGTGCGAACGTACACGAAAATAATTCCACATATTTACGACAAGATCTTGATTTTCTCCTGCTTGATATCAGGGCTCGTACCATCAAACTTGAGATTGACTAGAATATTTTCCCAGCTCTTCATGCAGTCCTCGTAGAGTTGAATCTGCCTGTCAGCCATAGAGATCATCATGCTCTTGATCTCAGATTGTTTTTCGACATTCCAACGCTCCACGTCACTCCTGAGATTTTCGTTGGTGCATTCGAGACGATCCTGAAGAATTTCTGAGCGTTTTGCCAACCTGGGGACAGCCTGTCCGAGTCTCTCCAGCTTCTCATCCCTGGACTCCCCTTTCCAGAGGGTCCCACCCCATCCCTGGGACCTGGGGGCGCCATTCGTGGGATCCAGCAGCTGTTATTCAAAATAATTAACAATAATAAATTAGAAACGAGAATAAATGGACATAAAAAATAATAAAAAATAATTCACCTGATCCTTCTCGTATCGCCTCTTTGCCAATTCATCGAGTGTGAGTTCGTACTCCAGCTGGATATTATCCCGCCTGTTGAGAGCGTCTTTAACGGACTCGACATATGCGATGTACTCTCTCTCCCCAGCTGAGATATTCTCCAGGAACTTGTGATGAGCATTTGCATTCGCCTCGACAGCCCCGGCAATCGTCAGAAGAAGAGACGATAATTTTGGCTCAGAGATTGACCACTGGGTGAATATCGGGTGCATCTGGTGGAGCTCCACGACGTACTCCTGCCTCTCCTTGTGGATTCGATGATTAATTTTATCGATATGAGATAATTTCTCGGAGAGGGCATTGCAGTAATCCCTGGTCTTCTCGAACTCCAAATTTTTCTGCTTTATGGAATAAGTACTCGCGATATTCGGGAGGGAATCGGTCATCTTCCCCACGGCATTCCCCCGATTCTTTCTGATGATGGAGAACTCTGCGGGTTTAGCCGTGAGAAAGCCCTTGAGCTCCTTATCGCAGCTGAGGATCGGGTGGTTGACAATTCGATTCAGGAACACGTGGAGCAGCTTCATCCGGGCGATGATGAATTCCTTGGAGTAACGATCGAGCTGCGCCAGGAGTGAGTGCTTTCCTGGCATCGGGGGGATTATGTGAGAGGGATAACTGCCCACCAGCTTCTGTCGGAGCCAGATGAAGTCGTTGTAACGTCTTCGCACCACGTAATCAGATTCCTCGAACTCTGGCCTCGTTGTTCGCGTTGTTATTCGAAATGTTATGTACGTCTCCAGGGTCTCCAGGTGCTTCTGGGGATTGTCGATCTTCACCTGGAGATCTCGATTGTCAGGCTGGAAATCGGAGCAGTCGTGCTCTGGAAGGGTGGAGAAACTGTCGATCGAGGGCGATGCCACCTGGAGTAATTTATAATCAGCTGATGAATTCTTTTAAATAAAAATTCATTGAAAACTAAATAATCTTTTATTACCACTGAGCCTTCGACTGAAGTACTGTAATTCGATAGAAAATCAGGTTCACGAGATTCAGGTCTGATTGTTCCTGGTGAGATGGTACCCACCTCGGGAATTCCTGGGGTTTCATCCCCGGTGGTTATCCCGAAGTCCTCGGTCAAGGGATCACTCGGTGTCATCATTTTTTTGGCTGTCAATGAGGGCGAATTGACTGGTATGGAACCCGAAGGGGATCACAACATCGATAAAGCTGCCAACGGTTGACAGCAAAGAGGATTGACTGATGTAGAGGCTCAGTTCTGGGGGTTTGAGTGACCCCAGGGGCATTTTAGTACTGCACCCCAAGAGGGGGAGGGCGCCACACGCAATGCTGGGGTGTCCTTCAAGTCGACGGGGTGAATTTTATTTTCTGCGATATGAATGCTTTTTGTTTTTTAATTGTTTAACTGAAATTTAGGCGACTCTAGAACGAGCGGATGGGGGAAGCCACATCTTGTGGAATTCCAAATGAAAAAAATTATTCAATCTATTGAATATATACTCCTAATAAAATTATGATTTTAGAAATGCGTGTTGTTTAATTGGTAACGTGCTTGCCTATCACGCGGACGGCCAGGGTTCGATTCCGCCGACATTCATTTTTTTTTTATTAAATAATTCCTATTTTCTTTTTGTAAATGAATAATCATTCGACATATCGTTTAAAAATTGAATACCTCCTCGACGTTCATGTTCCCCTGACACTTTTTCAAAAATTTCGAATTTTTCACTTTCAGTGAAAATTTCAGTGAATAGCTCCTCGACGTTCATGTTATCCTGATACTTTTGCAAAAATTTCGAATTTTTCACTTTCAGTGAAAATTTCAATGAATAGCTCTTCGATTGTCATGTTCTCCTGATACTTTGACAAAAATTTCGAATTTTTCACTTTCAGTGAAAATTT